ACCCTTCCAAGGAAGTTCATTGGGCCGGGGAGATGGCTCAGTAGAATAAGCGCTTGCCTGGCAAAGCGCAAGGGCCTAAGTTCAATCCCCAGTTCCGCAAAAAAAAAAAATAAATAAAACGAAGTTCATCATGTTCTTCCTGGCTACATTTTTAATCTACTTGACCCTTTTAGATTTTGGTGACCAACCTGGATTTCCATGATGAGCAGAAGCGCCGGAATCTCAATGGGACACTTCATGAACTCCTTCGAATGAACATCGTCCCCATTATCAACACAAATGATGCTGTTGTCCCCCCAGCTGAGCCCAACAGTGATCTCCAGGGGGTAAACGTGGGTATAGTATTCCTAACGGTTGAACAGGCTGCAGATACTAATGTGTGCTGTGCTGCATGTACTAACACTGGAAGCTTGGCGTGAGGAGGATGGAGAAGTCGGGAGGAAAGCTGGCCTCACAGAACAGTGGCTGCGTGAGCCCTTCTGAAGGCAGGGCCTTTCAGTCAGCAGGGTGAGCTGCTCTGGTGACGTAGGTGATGCTGTGAGCATGGCTTGCGTAATTCAGTAGAAGGCTGCATGTGTGAAAAAGGGGTGGTTAAGAGGTCTGTATCCTGCAGAGGGGATCTGCAACAGCTGCCATCTGTGCTGGGTCATTTGGTCTGCCTGACAGCTCCGAGCTGGGTGCTTCTGAGAATTTCTTTTTTGGACTGCATGGTTCACTCACTCAAGACATTTTTCCTATATTCCAGGTTATTAGTGTTAAAGATAACGATAGTCTGGCTGCCCGCCTGGCTGTGGAAATGAAAACGGACCTCCTGATTGTTCTTTCAGATGTAGAAGGTACGGGTCATTTTTCTTTTTCTACATGTATAGGTTTCCCTTTTGTTTGAGTCCTTCTGACCTTTTTTCTTCTATTTACCACTATTTTCTGAAGCATGTGGTCTCACCAGGGTTTTCATGACTCAGAAGAGAGCTGCTAAGAGTGAGAGGCTGAGTGCTGGATAATATTCCCAGGTGCTTTCATTTCATATTTTCACAACAGCTTTATGGAAATAAAATTCCCATACCACACAAGTTACCTATTTAAAGTGTACAGTACAGTGACCTTTAGCATAGCCGCACGGTTGTATGACCACCACCACCACAATAATAATTGTAGACTATCTTTATCACCTCAACGAAACACCTCAGACCAGTTTGCAGTCGCTCCCCACTCCCTCCCGGACGCTTAGCCCCGAACAGCTTCAGTGTATCCTATAGATGTATTAATCTATTCTTGACACTATAAATGGCGTAATGCCCCACGTGGTCCTTTGTGACTGGCCTCTTTCCGATAGCATGATGTCGTCGGGCTTCTCCTATGGCACGGTATATGTTAGTACTTGCTTTCTTTTTACTTCCAAATAACATGTTCTGTACATATGCCATATTTTATTTATCCATTCATTAGGTGGTAGACCTATGAACTGTTAAGAATAGTGCCACTGTAAATTGTCATGTGCAAGCTTTTGCATGAGCATGATTTTGTGTTTTCTCTGTTGGCTGGAGGATGTACTTCAGTGGTGAAGGGCTTGCTTAGCAGGTGCAAGAGCCTAGGTTTGGCCCCAGCACCGGGTGGACATACATCATTGTTGATTGTTTAAAAACCTTCTGAGGAGCCAGTGTTGTTTCCCACAGAAGCTGCACCCTTTCACATTCGCACCAGCAGGACTTGAGGGTGTTTAATTTATCCGCATCCTTGCCAGTACTTAATTTGGCATTGTCTAGTTTTGATTATAGCCATTCTGATGAGTAAGAAGTGATAGCGCTGTGGTTTGGGTTACTTTCAGGAGCTCCTGTAAGCCACGGAGCAGCTTATTTCAGAGCCGTGAAGAGAGCTTAGGCTTTTGGCCACCCTGATTCTAGACGTTGCTCCGTCTTTCCTGCCTTCCCTTCCTCATGGAAGGACCCCTGTGGCTCCAGTTTGACTGTCCTTTGACTCTGTTGCTATTTCACAGTTTAACTCATAGGAAATGATAGTTGTCCTGAATGGACCAATCCTCCGGGATCTCAGGTCTCCCATTATTTCCGCGGGAAGTCAGAAAAACCCTGTTAAATTCCCAGTCGCACCCCAGAGAGGTTAACATGGCAGGCTTTGTTCTGTTTTATACTCAGCTGTGTCAGGTGAGGGCAGTGGCTGCCCAGTGAGGCAGAAGCAGATGCAGGTGAGTTAATCTGTTTTCTGCTCCTGTCAAAGTCCAGATGTAGCCTACCTACATGTCAGTGTCTTTGCCTATAAGAAATCATGGCGTTGTATTTATTCACTACAGTTGGAACTCTTGGGGCAGAAATAGCTAAGTTGGGGTAAGTGTAAGCCACCTTATATGGTTAATCAGGTTTTCATTAAATTTCTGCCATGTGTGTATAGTACACTGTGTGTTCTTTAAATGCCAGTTCAGTCTTCATAGCAGACCTATAAAGTAGGTAAATTAGTCCAAGTTACATAGATGAAGAAATTAAAAATTAGGTTTAGATCAGCTAATATTATATTCAAAGTCATGCAGCAAGTAATTCTCCAAGGCCAGTTTCTAATCTAAGTCTCTTCGGTTGAAAAATGATTCTCTCTCTCTTACACTGGCTGCAAGGTAGAGGATACGGTTTGTAAGATCATTATGCACATCTGAGCTAAATTTATTAAACAGTTTCAAGCTGCGTGTTCGATGCAGCTTCAAACACCAAGATTGGCCATCACCAGTTTGACTGTGCTCTTCTAGCTAGTTGTACACTGACTGCTCGTCACAGAACAGCAGCAGAATTGGGGGTGCTCTCCTGGCTGGGTGGGGAAGCTGCTGCAAGGGAAGGGCAGGGCCAGGCCGGCTCTGGAAGAGCGGGGGCCTCTCAGGAGACGGCTGGTTTAGAATTGTCCAGTGTTTCCTACATCATCCCATGAAACTGAGCAACCTCTCAGTGCACGCCATCAGCGCACAGCGCCGTGTCCTCTGGGAAGAACCCACCGGGGACCACGAGAGCTGTGGAGTGCCAGTCAAGCTGGGTGGGAACCCTAGAGGCCAGTCTCCCTTTTCCTGTACTTGCTGCTCACTGTTTGCACTACCTGGCTCTGCTCTGGTCACTTGATTTCCTTGCCCTGTAGCGGGTTATAATCCAGGAACAGCAGTGACAGAACCAACACCATCACCATCCAAAAGGTGCTCCAGCCAGTCCCCTGGCATGGGCAGTATCTCTCCAGCTGTGTCCTCTTTAAAGTCTGATCTGTCTTCATTTTCTCAGACCCATCCTGCCCTCCTCTTTTTGCAAAGTTCATACTTACTTACAAAGTAAAATCGCTGCATTTGTTACATTTCACATAACTTACTTCACCTCCCTCAGTTATGTAAGTGTTGTGTACTCGTATCATAGGTCAGGCTGGATGCTGAGAGTCACGAGCTCTTCAGACTCTATCCAGCCTCCAAGGTGACACACCCATAAAACGAGGGGTATAAACAAGTGCCTGTCTCAGAGGGTACGGTGAGAGTTAATGAGTACCTATTTCACATTTCGCCCTGCTTGGAAGCAGCCACAGTAAACAGTGTGTAGCTGATGGACTTTCTGCAATGGCCCCTCTGGGTTTTCAGTTGTGTTCTGGAGGTACAGCATGACAGGTAGCCATAGCAAAGGTGAGCACACTTGCAGGACACTCTGGACAGGGCTAATACATTTGGCCTCAAGGACGTGACCAGGCTCCCCAGCTGGGAAACATTCATTTATTAAGCCAAGTTACAAAGGTATGTAAGGTGAGTCCTCTGGGAGCTGAATTTTAGTGTGGAGTGGCTTCATAGACTCCTCGTCCTCACTTCTGTTTGGAGCAGGTGGTAGTACATGGAGTTCGTTGGATAACCAAAGCATGAAGTGATGCTTGCTACCTGTAGCAGCTGCCTGGGGAGGGTTGTCTAGGGGACACACGCTTCAATCATAGCACCATTTCTGACACTGATCCACTTTTTAGGACTCTTTGACAGCCCCCCAGGGTCTGATGATGCAAAGCTCATTGATATATTTTATCCTGGAGATCAGCAGTCTGTGACGTTTGGAACCAAGTCTAGAGTGGGAATGGGTGGCATGGAAGCCAAGGTAAGCACTGGGGTCCTAGGTCTCTAACAGCGGTAAAGCCAGAGCAGTCCTTTTCACTTTCCTATTTTTATTCTAGTTTGGGTGGCTGCCGGATAGCTCAGAGGGTAGACACACACAAATAGGCACATATCGCTGAATTGATGTGTGCGCCTGTGTTTAGTTTTGGATGTGTATTTTTTCTTTAATATATAAACTGTTCGTATTGTAAACTACTCTAGGGTAAAGGCTATATACTTTTTATAATTCACAAATTTTTGGTTATCAGCTCAAGTGTATCTTGGTACAAATTTCATATTTTCTCTCCCATCAGTCACTTTAAGAAGTTACGGGCCGGCATGATAGCTCAGCAGTCTACAGCCTGAAGCGCCTGCTTAGGCAAGCTTAGGCAAGCACGGGGGCTGTGGCTCGATCCCCAGCACGACGTGCTGCGCCAGACCCACGCTGGGGGCTGAGCCAGCCAAAAAAAAGAAGTTAAGCCCTTGAGGTGCAGCCTTATGAGCTGCGAGGGGAGAAGCGAGCCGAGGAGCCCGTGCGGGGAAGCTACGTGCACGCGGGTTCTGGTCAGCCCCAGCTGGCTGCTGCGCTGTCGCTGTAGTGAGGAGTAAGGAACAGTTCAGACTGCAGGTGTGTGGAGTCCTGTACCAGAGAACCTGAGAGAGAACCGGCTGAAAACGAAGGGCAGCGCTAGGGCTGGGCCAGAAAGAAGCACGGGGCAGCTGTTTCTCAGAACTTTTGTGGTGTTAAAAACATGGCTGCATTTACTTAACGTGCTTACTATTAAATTCTGTTTTCTATCTTTCTGCAAGTCTGAAGTATGGGTACCTAGTCTGAATCTCCTGTGTGGTCTCACTCGTCCTGCAGGTGAAAGCAGCCCTCTGGGCTCTACAAGGTGGCACTTCTGTTGTTATTGCCAACGGAACCCACCCCAAGGTGTCTGGGCATGTCATCACAGACATTGTGGAGGGGAAGAAAGTCGGCACTTTCTTTTCAGAAGTAAAGCCTGCAGGTGAGTAGCTCTCCGGGGCTGTGGGTGGCGGCTACTGACACCTCACCCGAGACGGAAGTCTCAGCCCTCCCTCGGGGACTGTAGATGTCTTAGTGTGGTAAAACCCAGTACTGTTTTAAACACCGTTCGAACAGTTGGATTTCCCTTTGCTTCAGTAGAACCGAGTTGCCTCGTTAAGGCTCGTACTCTAAAATCACTAGGTGAAACAGTGGACGCTTGCATCTTCTTCAAGAACAATCACTCTGCCAGTGCCAGTTGCCAGGCACTGAGGGGCACGAGCAACCAGACATGCCTAAGATCTGGGCGTGTGTTCTCTCTCGGGCTCACCGAGGACAGAGTTGACAGGCTACATTCAGATGCGAACATATGAGTAAACATGAGCCAGTGTGCTTGAAAGGCACTCCTCAGCGGTCTCCCTCAGAAACGCGGGCAAGTCCCGGTGCCCACTGTGGGGCTCCGAGTCACCCTGTGAGCTGTCGCGCTCTTTTGTTGGTCGGAGTGACCCCCACGTGTGAAGCCAGCGCGCTGAGACACTCGGCATGAGAGCCCGCACGCGCTGGGACTGTGCGAGCCGGCTGGGCCTCGTTCTGACGCTTGCGTGTATTCTTGCAGGCCCGACTGTTGAGCAACAGGGAGAAATGGTTCGATCTGGGGGCAGGACGCTGGCCACCCTGGCGCCTGAGCAGGTAGTAACTGATAAGCTTCGTTAACCATTTTTAAGCCTAGCCAGGCTGTACAGTTTAGCGTAACTGTGAAGGCTGCTGACCCCAGACACCTTCGTTCCTAGCGTCCAAGAAAGCCCATCTGAATGACAAGCCAGTTTCAGATTTGCCCTGCCTTTTTTCTTTTTCCTAATTTTATATCGATGTGTTGAGGCTTACATAACTTTATTTAAATTGGTACCAGCTTGGGAGTATATAATAATTCTGTCCATTGCGGGGAGCTAGTACATGGACGTGACGTATGTTGATTCCTTTTCTCTCCCCTCCCTTCTCCTCCCTCCGTCTCTTCACCCCTTCATATATCCATTCTAGCCTGTTAGTATGTATGTTGCATGTTTGTGGTGCATAATGACTACATCTCATAGAACAGTGTATGTGTATACAAAACATCACAATTCCTCTTTGTTTCTTAAAATCTCATTTCCTCTCTCCTCCCTCCATGTGCTAAAGACCTAGCTCACTGTTTTCTATCTTTTATTATGTCTTTTTTTATGCTCTTTATTTATATCTTGAGTTTCTCATATAAGAGAAACCAAGCAATAGTGTGTGTCTGATTTATTTCACTCAACATTATGATCTTGAAGTGCATCCAATTTCCTATAAATGACTCAAGTTTATCCTTCTTCATGGCAGAGTAGTATTCATCCTCCTCCTTCCACTTCTGATACTGGGGATTGAACCCAGGGCTTCTCGAGCACTGTAGTACATCTCTAGACCTGTGTGTGTGTTGTGACTAGGTCTCACTTGCCCAGACTGGCCTTGAACTTTTGATTGTCCTCCTCAGTCTTCCCACTAACTGGGGTTACAGATGTGTGCCACCACGCCCATCTTACCATGATGTTTTGGTCAAAAGCATCATGAAAATGAAGAGTGGGAGGTCTAGCTGATGCTGATGCATAGTGGGTGTGGAGATGGAGGGAAGTGTATTCCTCAGCCTGTTCCAGATGGTCTGCCCTGTCTGTGAAGTTGAAGGGGAGAGCCTGCTCTGCAGCCAGGTGCATGTGGTGGGAAGTGGTCTATAGAGCAGATACAGCAAGGCTGGAACTGAGCGGAGGGCAGGGAGCGTGGGGGAGGGCAGGGAGCGTGGGGGAGGGCAGGGAGCGAGGGGGCGGGCAGGGAGCGTGGGGGAGGGCAGGGAGCGTGGGGGAGGGCAGGGAGCGAGGGGGAGGGCAGGGAGCGTGGGGGAGGGCAGGGAGCATGGGGGCGGGCAGGGAGTGAGGGGGCGGGCACCTCCATTGCGTGGAGTTTTCTGGGCAGTGCCTTAGCCTGAGAAAGGAAGAAGCTTTATGTAGAGGAGGAAGTATGAATGGCCAACAAATATGTGAAAAAATTGTAGTATTTCTGGCCATTACATGCTAGTTAAAGCAACACTATAATTCTGTCTTCAGAATGAAAGGAAATTCGTAAGAAATAAATAAAAAGTGCTGGTGTGGCTACAGTGAAAAACCCTCTTACGTTGTTGGTGAGAATGTAAATAGTACAAGCATTATGAAGGAGATTTCTCAGAGACCTAAAATGGGAGGTCCATGTGACCCAGCTCCCCTTCTCCAGTCCTCCCACGAGTGTCAGATGTCATAGCTCCGGGGATACATCCATGCCAATGTTTATAGCAGCACAACTCATAATAGCGAGATCCTGGAAACAGCCTGCGTACCCATCATCAGAAAATTGGATAAAGAAAATGTGCTGTCTGTATGTAATGGAACACTACTCAACTACAAAGAAAGACAAATTTAAAACATTTGTGGGATATTGGATGCACCTGGAAAACGGTGTCGAGCGAAATAAATCAAACACGCAAGCTTGAACACCGAATAGTATCTCTCCTCTGCGTAAGGGGGAGCACAGGAAGGACAGAACAAGGCCAGGTGATAGGAAGGGGTCCAGGAGACCAAGGCTGAGGGGCAGGGAGGAGGGCTAGGGGAGCAGAGTGAGGATATGACCACACAAGGCCCTAATAACCTAGTGAGTGTGTACGCTGTGTGCCGTAAGCATGAACTAAGATTAATGATAAGAATGAGAAGGGGAGGGCCAGCGCGATGGCTCAGTGGTCTAAAGAGCCTGCTTGGGCCGCCGCAGGGGACCACAATTTAATCCCGGGAACCACATGCCTCACCATTCCTGCCTTCAGGGCAGGCTGAGCCAGCAGGGAAAAAAAAAAAAAAGAGAATGAAAAAGGGGAGCTAGAGGAAGGTGGGAAAGGGACTAAAAAAAGAAGCTGTATTATGCACACGTACCAGCTTCCCCACGCTGATTGTAAAATGCATGTACTGCCAACATGTACTGCTTTAGTTTTATTTCATTGCTGAGACAAAATATGCCTCAAATTAAGGAAGGAAAGGTTTATTTGGCTTGCAGTTTGTGGAGGTTTCAGTCCATAATCAGCTGGCTCAAGGCAGGGTGGCACATGGCAGAGCGCAGCAGTTTATGGCTACAGAAAACAGCAAAGCAACAAGAGCAAAAAGGGAGGGAACGAGCAAGCCTTTCCCCCTCCCTGTGTCGTGCAGGCTACCCGCCCCAGCGCAGGCGCAGCACTCACACCCACAGTCCTGACCTTGGACTGGTTCATAAATCAGTCTCACAGACTCTAGAAGCCCTAAAACTGCGAGAGGTTTTGGGGGTTTTGGGGGGTGGGGTGGAATCTGGACACAAACCATAGCATGAAATGAACTAATTTTTTTTTTTTAAATTGTAAGAGAAAGGAAAGGAAGAGCCTGGCCTGCCTCTTAGAACCTTTCCTTGCACTTCTTCAGTAATTACCACTCCTGTCTGCCACATTCCCAGTCTGGTAGGAAAGGATGAGAGTCTCTTCAAGCATGTCAGATTGTAGTTTTCTTCGATTGACTTTGTCAACTAATCGGAAAGAATGAAAGCCAGATGTAAAAATTTTCCTGGGAAATAAAGCTGTCCGGTGAAACTAAGTCCATGAAGGTGTATGTGTGATGCTGATTTGAGTGCTGGCCCTCCCCAGGGATAAACTAGTAACCCATCATGCTGCCGCCCTTGCTTGCTCACTGCAGTAACCAGAAATGATAAAAGAAGAGAAAAGCGAAAAAGAACGAAGAGGTTTTAACGGTTGAGGGAGCAGGGGTGGCAAGTGGACGGCGGGAAGGAAGGCGATGTCCGTGAGTGGCAGCCTTGGCTTAGGCGCACCTCTGATGCCGCAGAGTGGGCTTAGCACCAGAGTGTGTTCTGGGATAATGTGCCTGGCTTGCCTTGCAGAGAGCTGAAATCATCTATCACCTGGCTGACCTGCTGACGGACCAGCAGGAAGAGATCCTGTTAGCCAACAAAAAAGACTTGGAAGAAGCAGAAGGTAAAGGGTCACATGGAGGGTTTCTACTTTATTTTTGTTTTTGTTTTACCAGTGATTCTTATGTCTGCCTAAAGGCAAGATTATTATAGAAGAAATTATATTTATGCATCATCATTATCCATGTAAGTAGCTTTTGGTACAAGTTAGATTTTTTTTTTTCAAAATTCTTATCCCCTTCCCCAGATATTTTGTTGTTGTTTTCTCACCAGGTATTTTAATACCACCCCAGTAGGGCTCTTCTTGTCACCTATAAGTCATTCAAGCTATGGCTACTATAGCAATTTTTTTTTTTATGTATTTGGTACAAGGTCTCACTACGAAGCTCAGACTCATAGTGGTCCTCCTGTTTTCATCCTCCCCAGCACTGTGATTACAGGGGTTTGCCACCACGCCTGGTTTCAGTGGCTGGCTCAGCACGCCCAGGGCAAGGCTGGCACAGCATGTGGTACCCAGGATGGAATCCCAGTCCCTGTGCTTGCCTAAGCAGGTGCTTAGTCTGCTGAGCTATCTCACTGACCCTTGCTCTAACAGTTTTAGGACCAAAAAACCAAACTGAAAAGCCCATGACTTTAGGCATTCAACTAGTACCAACTAACCCTCATAAGCCTTTCTGTATTACCAGTCACTGTGCTAATAGGATTGCATTTAATCTTCACAGTAGAGTGTGTCTGTAGGGTTTCTAGTTGTTATCTCCATTTTACAGAGGGAAAACTGACACCCAGAGAAGTTTTCACTTACAAAGCCACGGGGCCAGTAATGGACGTAAGATTCAACCCTTGGAATGGCACATATAAGGAATTGTAGAAATAATATGTGCAGCCTAGAGAGGTGGTGTCCTAGCGTGTCGGCCATTGGGAAGTCTTCCGTGACCAGCTGCCATCCAGAAGTGCCGTTGAAGCTCTCCTGGAGAGGACGTGAGAGGGTTGAACTCACACTGCAGACAGCTAAATAGGCCAAGTCAGAGGAGCTCTAGCTCCTTCTCCTTCTTCTTCATTCTTTGTCTTTCCCACGCTAAGAGAATAGAGGCTGATTGTGTGAGCTTTAACTTTCTCTTGAGGAAGTAGGTGAGGTGTGCCTTTACTTAAACACTCCTGTTGATGGATTTCTCCCCAAGGAAACCTCACAGGGTTCGTGGACATCTCTTCTATTGTTTCTAGTACTTTTGAAGCATCGTCTCAGAACTGGAGTTTACTACTATAGTCTTTTGAACTTTTGTAGTAGTAGAAAATCATAAAATAAAGGGCCAGCCAAATAGCTCAGCAGACTAAAGCATCTGCTTAGGCAGAACACCGGGGCCGGGGGTTTGATCCCTGGGCTTGCCATGCCAGCCCGCCCCCGGGGTGTGCTGAGATGGTGATTGAGACTGGGCTTGTGGCGTGCCTGTAATCCCAGCTCTTGGGAGGCTGAAAACAGAATCACTGAGTCCAGTCTAGTAATGAGACCCTGAACACCCTGTAGACCCTTCCCTAAAATAAAAAGAAAATCATAAAGTAAATTTTTAGAAGTGGAAGAAATACTTGATAAAGTTTGTAAGTTTCTTTTCTCTGGCATGAAAGATAGACAGGTGAAAGTAAAGAAATCCTTCGTTGCCGCACGGGAGGGCGTGGAGAAGATTGCAAGCCTCCGAGCAGAGCAGGCTGAGTGGGGGCTTTTATCATACTGAACTAGAGGTGGGGTTTACCTGGACAGTATGGTATCCTGACTGGGGCGGGTTGGGGCAGGCTTGGCACGTGCCAGACGGGAAGAGGAAGTAGTCGTATTCCAGAAGGAAAGAAAGGAGGAGGAGGAGGAAGTGGGCCACATGCTGTTGTCCTTGGGCTCCTGCCGTGTTGGGTCACTGCCAGGATAACCAGGCAGAGATTTTTTTACGTGGGCAGAAGCCCTTCAATATCCAGTTCTTTTCAGTTAAAGTGACAATAATTCAGACCCACAGAAATTAAAGCTTTTGTTTAGGTGTCATACAGCTGGTGAGCAGTGTCTGGCTTCTTTTTTTTTTTTTTTTTGGAGGCGGGCGGTACCGGGGATTGAACTCAGGCCCTTGCACTTGCCAGGCAAGCACTTGTTCTACTGAGCCATCTCCCCAGCCATTCTCAGACTTCTAATCTCAGCACTGTCCCTGGAAATACACGAGCACTCACCGGTAGAGAATCAGCTCTAGAGTCTACCACTGCATGGTAATCCCCTTTATTCAGGGAACTGGTCCTAGAAAATTTTTCAAGAAGAGAAAACAGCTCTGTCTGTATGTGAGGATTCCTGGACAGGGATTACTTATCACACAGAAAAACTGGAAACAGTGAGTATGTAATAACTCCAGCTTTTTAAGAGCACTCTACAGTATCAACCCAGTGGAACATTTATTAGTTATTCAAATAATTTTTGCAAAATGAGAAATGCACATATGAAGTGAAAAGCTACAACGTAACATTCACTATAACAAGACTGCAGTTTTTGGCTCAGGGGGCAAAGTAAATAGAATTGAGTATGTTTTTATTAAAATTGGTTGGTAGAATGTTTAATTTTTGATTCTTCCCTTCAAAGTAAAAGTCCTTATTTTTTTATCTTAGTGCATATAACCATGAAAAAGAAAGGGAACATTTTCAATCTCACTTCAGCATTAACCACAGTGGTGATTTGCAGAATGTGATGCTAAGTAGTTTATCTTGTTAAGAGCACACATTTGTGTGTATGAATATGTATGTATGTGTAAATACATGTATGTACATATTTTGTTTAAAAAAAAGTTTATATATGAACCTATGATAATTGAACTTCTTTATTTCAGGAGAATATATCTTTATTTTTTTTTCTGGTTATAAAATTGCACTCTTTTTAAAAATTTTTAGTAAGCATCTACAGGGCCTACAGGATCTCACTACATATATCGGACTTGTGGTGATCCGCCTGTGTTCAGCCTCCCATGAGCTGGGATTACAGGCGCGCACCACCATACCCAGTCTCAATCACTCTCAGCTCGCCCTGGGGACAGGGCCAGCACGGCACGCTGGGGACCCAACTCCTAAGCAGGTGCTTTAATCTGCTGAGCTGTTTGGCTGGCCCTGCACTTATTTTTAAAAATTAAAATAATACAGAAAAATAGAAATCATTGCTGTTCTTGATGCCTTTCAGACTTTTCCCTATGCATAGGTTCAAGGTGTTTGATAAGTAATACTCGATGTGTGCTATTTTATAGTTTAACTTTTCACAACCTGTATCCTAGATAACTTTCCATATCAATAAACGTAAGTCTTTATAATAATAGCATTGTAGGCCCTTATCTGAATTTTAGGTAAAATCTGTTTTCCCACTTTTATAAGATGCTGAGGGACATTGTCCTTGTCACATGCAAGCTTGATGACACAAATGGTACATTTCTAGAGCCGAGGTTGCTGGCACAAAGAATGTGCATACATACACAAAACTGCCCCTCAGGAATGCGGCATGTCATTTTCTCACTAGGACCCCGAGTTTAAATGTCTGCTTTTGGTGCACTGTCACCTGTGCGGTAACACACCAAGAGACGTGAGTTGTCGCCACAGCCTGCCTGGGGCGGCTGTGTCATCGTGTGTTCTCACACCTCGGCAGGGAGACTCGCTGGCCCTCTGCTGAAGCGCCTGAGCCTCTCCACATCTAAGCTGAACAGCCTGGCCATCGGGCTGCGGCAGATCGCAGCCTCCTCGCAGGACAGTGTGGGGCGTGTTGTGCGCAGGACCCGAATTGCTAAAAGCCTGGAGCTTGAGCAAGTGACTGTTCCGATTGGCGTTCTCCTGGTGATCTTCGAGTCTCGCCCTGACTGTTTGCCCCAGGTAAATAAGTAAGGTGCTACCAGAGCTGGCCTTGAGGTTGCAGAAAGTATGTGTTGTCAGGACTGGCAGTAAGCCTCCCCAAGTAATTATGTGGGTATGTGAGAGGAAGGAAGAGTATTTTTTTTTCTCACCCAAAAAGATAATTTTTTGAGATGTTATGATCAGGTTCATCACAGAACAGTTTGTGTTCCTAATACTTGCATGAATTTTTTTTTTTTTTTTTTTTTTTTTTTTTTTTTTGGCGGTACTGGGGATTGAACTCAGGATCCTGCACCTGCCAGGCAATATCTACTGAGCTATCTCCCCTGTGTGAATTCTAAAGGCGGTAGTTAAGTTTTACAGAAGAAACCAAAACTTAGGAAAGTTAATGTTCCTGTGTCATATCAACTGCTGCTAGAGGGAGCCCGGGCCAGCGTGCGGTGTTACAGGAGGGGCTTTGCTCCTGGCAGACTGCATTCTCTGAAGGGAGCCCCGATAGTCTGCTGCAGTTACTCATCTCATAGCTGGCCTTGCCCATGTGAAGAAGACCCCTTTTATTGCTGTGGTTGACAGCTTCATCTGTCACAAAAAGAACTTTCCGAAGTTCATGGAAACTAGAAAGCAACCTTTTTTAAGGATTGTTGAAAGGCTTTTTTTTTTTTTTGCGGAACCGGGGATTGAACTCAGTCCCTTGCACTTGCCAGGGAAGCGCTTATTCCACTGAGCCATCTCCCTGGCCTCTAAATAATTCCTGGAGGCAAGGTGGGGTTTTTTTGTTTGTTTGTTTTGGGTTCTTTTTGTTTGTTTGTTTTTTTTGTGGTACCAGGGATTGAACTCAAGACCTTGTGCTCGCCAGGCAAGCACTTACTCTACTGAGCCCTCTCCCCAGCCCCCTGAAAAAGCATTTTTTAAAAGTCTTGCCAGCCATGCTGGGAAAACAAGGTAGTGTGAGAATTTGTTGGCCGTAAATGCCCCCAGAAATTTGGAATCATTTCTCCACTGCAAGAGGATACCAGTTCTTTCTTTCTTTTTCTTTTTCTTTTTTTTAGCAGTGTTTTTAATTTTTATTTATTTATGTGTGTGTGTGTGTGTGTGTGTGTGTGTGTGTCCAGCTGAGCCCACCAGGGGGCAGGGCTGGCTGGCATGTGGTGCTGGGGGATTGAACCCCGGTCCCTGTGCTTCTTTTTTTTTTTTTAATTATTTATTTATTTTTATTACATTTAGAGTGTGTGTGTGTGTGTGTGTGTGTGTGGCCAGCTCAGCCCACCAGGGGGCGGGGCTGGCTGGCATGTGGTGCTGGGGGATTGAACCGCGGTCCCTGTGCTTTGCTAAGCTTGTTCTAAGTAGGAGCTTTAGACCACCGAGCCATCTCACCAGCCCCCCAGTTCTTTCTTTACATTGACCCCAAAATCTCCTAGAAAATTCTGTTTTAAAGCAAAAACTGGCCCCTCTGTGTGCCATGGGGGTCTGGACTCTCCTCTGGAGGGAACTCCCTGACAGAACTTGTAACCAGCTTGTTTAGCAAAGCAGTCCCATCCCCAGGGGTCTGTCCTCAACCCTGGCTGCGGCCACCGCACCACCCCTCGCCCACGGGCCTGTTTTGTGCGGATGCCCAGTGGGGGATGCAGAACTCACCTGTGCTAGTAGAAATAGGCTGGGAGGGTTTGAGATGCATCCGTGGAGTGTCTCTGCCACCTCTCAGCCACCCGCCTGATCCCTCACCAGGAGTCAGTCTCTCTGGGTGCAGCTCCTCTCTTGGGACCTTTACCCCAGATAGCAGCACAGAATGCTGGGATGTCAAATGCCGCATGCCTGCATTTGTCTAGAGAACGTCTGCATAGCTTTTTTAAGCTCCATGTAAGTAACATAAGGAGACAGAAAAGGCTTTTAAGAGCCCCTGAGCTGCAGCTGGATGCAGCGGCCCACGCCTGTAAGCCTGCACTCTGGGAGGCTGAGGCACACAGATGCAAAGCTCAGACCTGAACTGCCGTGTCAGTTTAGCAATTTACACGCTGGTGCGAAATAAGTAAAGTCTGGATGTATCCATCTCAGTGCTAGGCTGGACCGTAGGATTCAATCCCAAGTACACAAAAACAAAGGAGAAAATCAGCTACTGATTTGGAGAGTGAGACAGGCAAGGTTTTATAGTATAGTGTCTCTACCTACTTTATAAAAGCAGGATTTCCATTCATCCCTTTCAGAAAACTTTTCTTCTGACCTAGAATGCTGAGGTTACTGTCACTTCTTTTATTGGGTAGCACCCCCTTCTCCCAGCCCACCCCCTGCGCAGGCAGCATGTGCTGCTTTCCCAGCTGTCTCTGCCATTGCTGTTGCAGCTGGCAAGAGCTCTAGCATACTCCACGGTCTCCACATAAGGCACTCAAGAGTTCTCGGAACAATTCCAAGAGCAGAGAATGACGTGGCCAGAGGTGCCGTTTAGAGCAGGCAGTGTACAGAGGCACTTGTACTGTGTTCTCCACAGTGACCTAAGTGGAGAGAGGCTGTGTTCCTGGCCCCTGCACCCAGGTTGCACTGCTAAGCATGGTGAGGAAGGCACATAGTTTGGTCCAGGTGGATTGGCTGTGGGATGAGACCACTTCAGTATGGCTCCCACTCCTTCTATTTGTATGCTGTGTAGCCTTGGGGAGTTACCAACCTCCCTGGGCTTCGTAGAAGTGGCATCAAACAGCGGAATCGGTAAAGACCTCCATCAATGCTAACAATATATTGTTCTCTTTCCCTTTGATCTGCAGGTGGCAGCCTTGGCCATTGCAACTGGGAATGGCTTGTTACTCAAAGGTGGGAAGGAGGCTGCACACAGCAACCGGATTCTTCATCTGCTAACCCAGGAGGCCCTTTCGATCCATGGAGTGAAGGAGGCCATTCAGCTGGTAGGTCCCTGTGAATGGGCCAAGGGGGGTCAAGTAGGCCCAGATTAGGTCTTTGAGAGTTTGAAGCAAAGCTTAGGCCATGTGGGTCCAAGACTCCTGCACAAGCAGACGTGGTGAGTGTGGTCTTATGTGCCGTGAGCTTGTGGGCATTAAGCCACTCTACAGAGACAGATGATCCCCAGTAACTTAGGCCACGCCTGTAAAACACTCATTTAAAGAACATCAATTAGAGCTGTAGTTCCCACAGATGCAGCTCAGCTGTCAATTAGAATGTTAATTAGAGTACACACCTATAATGTCAGCATTCAGGAGGCTGAGGCAGAAAGGTTGCCACAAGTTCAAGGCCAGTCTTGGCTCCCTAGTGAGTTTAAGGCCAGCCTGAACTACATAGCAAGTCCCTGTCACAAGAGGAGTGGGAGGGGGAGAGAGAGACAGGGAGGGGGAGGAAAAGACCTCCATTCTTGGGGTCATAAGGGGTCTCAGACCTAGAATAAGCCTTGGTTGTTCTCGTTGGTAGAATAATTGAGGATGAGTTCAGTGAGATACATTTTGAGGAAGTTTGTCATAAATCATCCTGCCTTCTGTAAGAATGAAATCACACTTATTATTAATTTTTTTTATTTTTAGTGTATTTAGTATTGGGTCTCACTACATAGATCAGAGTGGTAGTGGGTCTCCTGTTAAGTGCTGGGATTACAGGCGCACACCACCACAGCCAGTCTCAGTCGCCCTCTCAGCATGCCCCGTGGGCGGGGCCAAATGGCATGCCAGGGATCCAACCCAGGTGCCTTAGTCTGCTGAGCTATCTGGCCGGCCCGAGATCACACTGTTTTCACTATTATATGGTTTGGTGGGTGTACTGCTGTCATTTGGTGCTGGGGGTTGAACCTAGACTCTTCATACTGAGCTACTTCCCGGGCTGTTTTTATTTATTTTGAGATAAGATGTCACTGAGTCGCCCAGTTGCCCACTTGGAGCAGGCACCCTACAGTGGCCAAAGGGGGAAAGCGTGGAACTAGCTTGAATTGATGCTCTTCCTCATTCTCTCAAATAGCTGAGATTACAAGCTATGGCCCCCGCTCCTAGTCTGTGGCCTTGATTTTAACTGTTGCTCTCTCCTCAGCTGGCAAAGGTTTGATAATACCAGCTGCACTTGATTGAGCACCTACTGTACAGCAGGTACATTTCTTCCATGACCTTGTTTGATCCTAACAACATGAGGAAAATACCGTGAGTCCTAGGGCCATTGTCTAAATTGGAATACAGCAGCCTGAGATACTCAAAGTTGTGGAAGCTGTGGTAGAGTTAGATTTGAACCCAGACCACCTTCAGATCCGCATCTCTTTCCTTCAAGGCCTCCTCACTGTAGCATCTAAGGATTCTAGTGGCTGCTAGGTGGGTGTCTATGACCTGCTATCACATATTCAGTGATAAGAATCTGGGCTTGGCTTAGGGCAGCAGAGCAGGGGCAGGGAACTCTGATTTGGGGTTCAGATCCCAGCTCACATCTAGCTATGTCGGAGTCGATTGTTTCCTTCTCTCCCCATTGCATCTCTTTCCTTCCGGTTCTTCCTTGTGATGTGTAAGGTGTATGTAGTCCGTGTAGGTCCTGCACAAACAACTGTGACTCTGTCCACATACACACATGGCCTACAGCCACGAAAAAATAGAGCACTTTCCAAAAAATCCCAGATGGGGCCGGCAAGATAGCTCAGCGGACTAAAGCGCCTGCTTAGGCAAGTTTAGGCAAGCGCAGGGACCACAGTTCAATACCTGGCACCACATGCCATGCCAGCCCTAGCCTGAGGGCTGGCTGAGCCGGCCACAGAAAAAAAATCCCAGAGGCTTCCTTCTGGCCTTCCCAATTACTGTGCCTTACCCTGGCACAGGGCACCCACTGTTTTTTTTTTTTTTTTTTTTTTTTTAATGTATTTGGTATAGGGTCTCACTATGCAACTCGAACTGATCCTCCTTTTTTTTACCTGCCTCCCCAGGTCTGGGATTACAGGCATGTGCCACCACACCCACGGCCCAGCGTGCCCAGGGGTAGGGCCCATGAGGCATTTGGTGCTGGGGATCGAACCCCCGTTCCTGCGCTTGCCTAAGTAGGTGTTTAGTCCACTGAGCTATCTTGCTGGCCCTAATTTTTTCTTTTTTAAAGAGAATACCACATAGTATTAAAACAAAAAATTACAAGTGATACAGAATTTCACTTAACAAAGTAATATGAATTTCTCAATATTTGTTGTAGTGTTATCTTCCAACCAGTTATTCATATTAGCGGATATATGCATGCAAAATTGGAAGACGAAAGAAAAAAGAAAGAGATGTATAAGAAATTAAGAAGATGCCACATGTCACGCTGGCCCTGACCCCAGGCACACCAAGCTGGCCAGAGACCAGTGTGGTGGTGCATGCCTGTAATCCCAGCGCTGGGGAGGCTGAAAATAGGATCACTAGGAGTCTGAGCTACGTAGTGAGACCCTGCACCAAATACATTTAAAAAAAAAAAATTAAGAGAAAGAAAAGGTGCAAACAATTGAAAAAAGACAAAACAAATTAAGCATTATCTGCTCCTTTCCATAGACAGGCAGAAATGCACAGTACAGTTGTCCAAACCATCCTGCCTACATACATAAATGTATCTCTTGCCCCTACTCCCTCTCCTGTCCTTCTGCTCAACTCAGAAACACTTTGCTTTTGAATGAGTTCATTCCTTTCCCCAGTATCTACTGCACCCTTCAGATTCCATTTTCTCTTTCAGGTTCTCACACTAAGGAGATAATACGATGTTTGCACATGCAGGTCTGATTTATTTCACTTAAGAGCATGTTCTGTAGTTGTGTCCATTTACTGACAGAAGACTCAAATTTATCCTGTTTTATAGCTGAGTAATATCCATTGTGTAAAAATTCCACATCTTCTTCATCAGTTCTGCACTTGATGGGCGTCTGGGCTATGACGCCCAGGATTTAGCTATGACCTACTGCACTGCTGTGAACATGGGTGCACATACATGCTGCACTGCTGTGAACATGGGTGCACATACATGCTGCACTGCTGTGAACATGGGTGCACATACATGCTGCATTGCTGTGAACATGGGTGCACATACATGCTGTGCTATGAGGTTTTCGGTTCTTCTGGGAAAAATACCTGGGAGAGGAGCAGCTGGCTTGAACGGCTGTGCAGTCGTAGCCTTTGAGGACTCTCCACACTGACTTCCACAGTGGTCGTACCAACCTGCGCTCCCACCCACAATGCAAAAGCGTTCCCCACAGCCCCCCGCTATTTGCTGTTGGCTGATTTCTTGATGTTAGCCATTCTTTCTGCAGTGAGATGGAATCTCAGTGGTGTTTTAATTTGGATTTCTTGAATGACCAATGATGTTGAACATTTTTTCATCTACTTTCCATTTGTATTTCTTCATCTGAAAAATGTATATTCATCTCATTTTTTGATTAGGTCTCTGAATTTGGGGGCCTGACTTTTAAAAAATTCTTTATATGTCCTAGATAGAAGGCCTTTGTCAGAGGGTGAGTTGGGGTACCCACTGTTTTTGACTTGTTCTTGAACTTGATGTAAATCAGCTTCTTTGCACTGATGATCTTTGATCATGCACTTTGATGTGTATCCGCGTGACCGTGATCTCTGGGCCTGGTTTTCCTCTCTTCGCGGCCATGTAGCGTTCCACCTGCATGCGCTAGTGCAGTTCGTGCTTCTCACGGTCAGCTCTGGAGTCATTGCCAGGCTTCAGCTGCTCAGAATAAAGTCCCTGTGAGCGTCCTGGTGTGCGTGTGTTTACAGCTGTGTCTTAGGTGACGTGAGCAGATGCGAGACCATTTCAGGAATGTAGACAAAATGCCTGTACTCCCAGTGTCCCAGCACAGGCGCGTCCTAGCAGATCCAGCCAGCGTCTCAGAAGGAAGGTTGTCGGCGAGGCCCTGGAGCCCTTCCTCAAGGCAGCCATGTCTTTCAGTGATCCCCGTGGCCCAGCGTCTCACCACCTGTCACTTCCGTGGACTGCACTTGGTGCTCCCTGTGGCATTTAGGGAATAATCTGCCTGTGCAGTGGTCGTGTCCTACTTCTGCCCTCCTGCTCACCTGTGTGGGCGAGGATCGAGCCTGCGTGGCGTGTAACACAGTACAGCGCCCAGTGGGTGGAGGCTGATCCAAATGGGCTGCGTAGCTTTTCAAGTCCCGTGATCAGGAATTGAATCATGTTTCCGCAGTGAGCTTTCACATGCCTGATGTTGTTTTCACAGGAGCAGACGTTCGTGTGTAGTGGGGCTGGGCTGCGTCTGTGCTTTAGATTACCAGAAGGGGTGCTGGTGAGATGACTCAGTGGTCTAAAGCACCTACTTAGAACAAGCTTAGCAAAGCACAAAGCACAGGGACCGTGGCTCAATCCCCCCAGCACCACATGCCAGCCAGCATCTGTCACTTCCATGGACTGCACTTGGTGCCCCCAGGTGGGCTGAGCTGGCCACACACACACAAAAATAAATAAATAAACTTTAAAAAAAAAATGGGCTGGTGAGATGGCTCAGTGGTCTAAAGCACCTACTTAGAACAAGCTTAGCAAAGCACAGGGACCGCGGTTCAATCCCCCAGCACCACATGCCAGCCAGCCCCGCCCCCTGGTGGGCTGAGCTGGCCACACACGCACACACACACAAGAAAGAAAGAAAGAGAGAGAAAGAAAGATTCCCAGGAGGTGTCGTCACTGCTCTGTGTTCTCCCTGTGCAGGTGAATACCAGAGAAGAAGTTGAAGATCTTTGCCGCCTGGACAAAATGATAGACCTGATCATCCCACGTGGCTCTTCCCAGCTGGTCAGAGACATCCAGAGAGCAGCCAAGGGAATCCCAGTGATGGGGCACAGCGAGGGGATCTGCCACATGTACGTGGACTCGGAGGCCAGCGTTGATAAGGCCACCCGCCTTGGTGAGCCGGGAGAGCCGCCTGTGTGATGACAGGGAGGTGGCCGCCAGGTCAGCCACGCCTTGGCGCCCTTTGCGCAGAAGTAATTCCTGGCTCTTTTTCAGTCAGAGACTCTAAGTGTGAATACCCGGCTGCCTGCAATGCTTTGGAGACGTTATTAATCCACCGGGATCTGCTGAGAACACCATTATTTGACCAGATCATTGACATGCTGAGAGTGGAGCAGGTGAGGCTGACCCTCAGGCCTCAGTCGTTACGTACCACTTGTCTGTGGGGTTAGACCAGGAGCATCGCATGTAAGGCAGTTCCACGAACAGTAGCTGGGAGCATGCACTGTGTACACGGTGCTGTGCTAAACACAGAGGCAAGACGCAACCCCTGCCCTCCGGCAGCCCAGTGGGCAGCCCCAGTGGGCCACAGTAGCTGCAGGCCACGTGCAGCGCGTGTCGCGCCAGTCGGGTGCGGCGGCACGCTGAGGAGGCTCTGCAGTGCATTTGCGCCCTCCCCAGATGTCTCCGATTACCAATATCAGTGTACTTCATACTGTACAGTGATATCTGGGTGAGAGATTTGGATGGTGTTCTCTGCGGACTATGTTGTACCACGTCACGGAGGCTGTAAACAGCCAATATGTTTCAAGCACTGTCCTAAATTCACGACTGGAAGGTGGTAGAAGCTGTCAAGGCGAAATGGACAATCTGTTAAACTTCCTGCAGGGATGCCTTTCCAGCTTTAACAGCAGAGGCCACAGTGCTCTTTGAGAATTACATAGGCTAGCGCAACAGTAGGAAAGTGTCCACTGGCCCTGGTTGCTTGGACCCTGGTATGTCTCTTCCTGTCACCCTTCTGCTGGACAAAAAAAGGCTTCTGTTCACTTATAAATGTGGCGTAGCCCCAAAGAATTGTTTTGAAAGCGATAAGGCGCCCTTTACTGTAAAAGGGAGTTAGCTTGCGTGACCACTCATAGCTGGGTCCCAGGTGCTGCAGTGAGCTGCGCTAGACAGGAAGCTGTTCTCTGCCAGAACTGAGCCGTGCTAGTCCCACCGTCATGCTCTCAGCCATCCAAGCATAGGTCGCCTTGAAAGGCCTCAGAGCAAAATGAGCCAGTGCATGCTTCGTGCAGCACGTGCTGTGCAGGAAGCAGAGTGACCAGAGATGAGGTTCCAGTGGGCCGGGGAGATAGCTCCGTGGAATAAGCACTTGCTTGGCAAGCGCAAGGGCCAAAAAAGAAATGAGGTTCCAGTCCCTGAAAATGGGCTTGGATGCCAGTCCTAGAGGAAAAGTCACAGATAGGAAAGCATGGTAGGACCTCAGAAGGAATGAGGACAAGACTGGCATCACTGGTTATAACTGGACCCAGGCAGGAGCATGGCCCCAAGAATCGGGGCACGTGCCCTGCACCGGGGTGGGATCAGAATATGGCTTAAGTATGGTCACATTTGTGACTGGGCCCTCAGAGGACAGCGTAGGATCTTTAGGTTTCTTTAATCAGAAACAAGATTAGTGTAAGAGCTTGCAGCTGAGACTAAGGAGGTAGGAAACCTGTCAGTAACCACGGTCTGTAGTACTGAAAGACGCTCAGGCCCTGCTTGCTAGTAAAACCAGCCTAGACTTCTCCAGAGTGCAGGGAGAAGACACGTTTCCACCTGAATCTGGTGCCTAGGTTCAGTGGGCAAGCAGTGGCATTTTATAGTCAGAGTTCATTGTAGTAAAGTGCCAGCCTTGCACACGCTTTCTGGCCAGGCTTCCTGCCTCAGGCTCTGCTCCAGCTTCCGTGAGGGCCCGGTGCCGGCTAGTGCCTAGCAGCCTATGCAGAGAGCGCACTGCAGGCGGGAAGGTGGGATGCACTTGGTGCTGTCAACCTCGTGAGCCGCCTGGGACCGTGGTTTACCGGTGCTGCTGCTCACGTGGGCATGACATCAGCCACGCGCATCCTGCTGATTCTTGTGGGGGTTTTTGTTTTTTGGGGGGTTTTTTGGTACTGGGAATTGAACTCAGAACTTTGCACTTGCCAAGCAGGCCCTTGTGCTACTGAGCTACATCCCCAGCTGGATTCTTGTGATTTTGTGTTGTGGTTCCTCGGCTTCCTCTGCTCCAGGTGAAAATCCATGCCGGCCCCAAATTTGCCTCCTATCTGACCTTCAGTCCCTCAGAAGTGAAGTCGCTCCGAACAGAGTATGGGGACTTGGAATTGTGCATTGAAGTGGTAGACAGTGTCCAGGAAGCCATTGAGCACATCCACAAGTACGGCAGCTCACACACGGATGTCATCGTCACAGAGAATGGTCAGTGCCTGGGGCTGCAGGCCCATGGCGTCCGCCTTGCCTGCTCTGATCTGCAGGAGCGCTTGCTGCTCCCAGCCCCTCTGGGCCTGCAGGAATGTAGTCTGGATAAACTAATGATAATGGGGTGCCAGCTGCATTGGGGGTTGGCGAGTGCGTCCACATCCATTACTGTGTAATTGTGTCTCAGATGGGTCCATTGGGGAGGGAGAGCAGGCTGGATTAAAGGTGATTATTTAAAGTGGGTGTACCCAAGGGGGGCGTTTTCATTTAATCCATGCCGTTCCCCTGCCAACCAGTTAAAAAGAACCCACTTTACAGTGAGGAAACCAAGGCCCAGGGGCTGAGAATAGAACCAGCCCTGTATGTGCACTGACTCAGTCTGCATATAACTTACTGAGGATACCTTGGGCGTCAGGCCTCAGGGCCCAGTGGTGAAGGACGCCATGTGTTAGGCACTGGGACGAATGTTCTTTGGTGCCACCTGGCCTCAGCCTCGCCACATCTGTGAGCTGGGTCACCTCTTCCTTTTTCACTCGGGCTCAAAGTTGTTCCAGCTCTGGCCCAAGGTGCTACAGCTAATGGGTATGGACTTAACAGCTCCGATTAACGCATCTGGCCCTAGAAAGCCTGTGCACAGAGAGTGTGCCTGGTCGCTGGCAGATACAGATTCCGGCTCAGTCTTCCTCCACCACTATGACTGGCGGCCCTGGTCACAGCCTGCACGTGTAACACCCGAGAAGAGCATCTGGGGAGGCCCCCCAGAGGCCGGAACCCTGACCAGACCTGTCACCAGAACGGCGCTCTTCACAGGGTCACCCTAACTCAGTTTTTCTTCCTTTACCCCACAGAGAAAACAGCAGAGTTCTTCCTCCAGCATGTTGACAGTGCCTGTGTGTTCTGGAATGCCAGCACGCGTTTCTCGGATGGCTACCGATTTGGACTTGGTAAGACCAGTCAGAGGAGAAAAGAGTCCTGGGCACAACTCTGTGTGGTCTGGGGTGCGAGGTGAGGTGGAGGACGTGCTTCCCTTTTGCTGTCACATATGTGATCAAGATAATAGACTTGTGGCAAGGTTAAGAAATTAGACTACTAGTAAGTGTATCTGAGATGGTGAACATCTATCTGCTGCTGCAGGCGTTCTACATGTTACAAAGTTAGGTACACGTTTCCCTTTTTCATAGATGGGGAAACTGAGAAAGAAGCAAATGATTTGCCTGGAGTCACACAGCCAGTGTTCAGACTCCAGTATGTGCCAGTCAGATCGTTGTTTCCACCACAGTCCAGCCACAGGCGCCGACGTGCTGCAGCCCTTCCGAGCACCACTGCGGAGCCTCAGTGCACCTCAGAGACAGCACCACAAAATGGGATAGGAAAAGTGGTGGTACCTGTATGAGGGTACAAGGCCTAGGGACCGGCATGAAAAGCAGACAGGTCGGGACCCAGTGGAAAACATGCGCAAGGCCCCAGGACAGGCCCCAGCCCCGAGGCAAGCAACAAAGGGAAGATCAGAGGTGCAGGGGACAGCAGGCATTGAAATGAAACATTAGAAAGATCCCCTTCCCTTTCCATCCTTTTTTTTTTTTAATTTTATGTGTGTGTGTGTGTGTGTGTGTGTGTGGCCAGCTCAGCCCACCAGGGGGCGGGGCTGGCTGGCATGTGGTGCTGGGGGATTGAACCGCGGTCCCTGGGCTTTGCTAAGCCTGTTCTAAGTAGGCGCTTTAGACCACTGAGCCATCTCGCCAGCCCCTCTTTCCATCCTTTATGAGGCCTTCAGGACTCTGTAGTGAGTGTTGAGGGCTACCATTATACAGAACTCCAGTAGGACATGTATAACACATTGTCTGAATACTTGAGAACTAATTTCAAGCACTGAAAATATTTTAATCCCCCTGAACGTTTTGGACAGATGATCTAGCTGTAGAAACAGTTCTCACTGAACAGTTAAAGGTTATTAAGGGGAGTTCTAATCAGTTATTCTTAGTCACCAGGTTCTTTATTTTTAGTTCCCATTTCTGTCAAGTGAGGTTTTTGCCTTAATTATCACATCACTTACACTGATCTTTGTTCTCTGTGTTCTTGGAAAAGAAACAGCTGCATACTCTGGGGGGATCCTTTCCCCAGAATTCAGCTGAAAATCCAGGTGGGATTTTCCTCACTGTCCTAGTGCAAGCCTAGAGCTGAAGCCCAAGCTCTGGCTGAGTTGTATTTCTGTGAACTACGTAAGTGACAATGACAAATATTTATTAAGTATGTTGTAGGCTTTATCTTAGTTCTATGAAAGAGAATCTTTTTCAACTGAAAAGGCTGAAACATGAGAGTAGTTAGGTAGTGTGCCTACATCTCATAGGCTGCATTCTTGAGCCAGAGTCGGGGTCCCGACGGTCCCCTCTGTCTGTCACCTGCAGCCCAGATGCATTCTTTCAGGTCTCTGCCTGCAGTACCTCTCACTGGTCCTCACCCGTCAGCTCGTTAGGCTTTGGGTTCTAGCCGAAAGGCATCTTAAGGGGGCGCTCCCTGATGCCCCGAGACAGCGCGTGCCCCTGCCACACAGTTCCTGTGTGGTGCCCGGCACATGCAGCGTTCATTGAGCTGACCTTAGCCCCTGCCAGCCAGCGTCTGGGCACCTCAGACACAAAGCCTTCTACCTGGCAGCCCAGTGTGCAGTCTAGTACATAGGCCTGTTCAGTGAGGTAGTGATGACTGAGAAACCCCGCCCGCCTCCCCCGAGGACAGTGCAAAGCATGGAAGACCTGCGTCTCCCGGGTCGAAGCCCAGAGCACGAGGGAAGGAGGGAAGTGAGCAACATCTTGTCTCATATGCGGCATCTAGTGAGTGCTTATGTACTCTGAATACTACGAATATATTCCTTTCTGGGACTTCAGGAATATTTGGGGAGGGCCGGCCAGAGAGCTTAGCAGACTAAAGCGCCTGCCAGGCAAAGCACAACAGCTGGGGCTTGATCCCCAGGCCTGCCATGCTGGCCCTGCCCTTGGGGCATGGGGAGACAGTGACTGACACTGGGTGTGGTAGCACATGCCTGTAATCCCAGCACGTGGGAGGCTGAAAACAGAATCACTACGAGTCCAGTCTACATAGAGCCTGTAGATCCTGTCCTACATACATTAATTAATATATATATATATATTTGGGGAGATGGCTCTTCCATGCTAAACATTGCTGTACACCTCAGAACAGGCCAACTGTCGGATATGGTGTACGAGTCAAATGCTATACTGATTCCAGAGACAGTTTTCCGAGACTGGCAGGGCACATTGGGGACAAAGGACAGAGGCTAACACACTTCAGTGGAAGGGGTCCACCTGCAGTGTAGTGACTGGAGAACAGCTTACTGGGATGGTACAACTCCAACTGGCCTGAGGGCGTGGGCAGGGCCAGCCGGGCCAGAGGGTTCCCAGTGAGGACGGGGAAGTAACCTGGCCCTGGCCAGAAGTTAGGAGAGACTGAGGAAAGCCACGTCTTTATGCATCCTTTTTTGTAGGAGCTGAAGTGGGAATCAGCACATCCCGAATCCATGCCCGGGGACCAGTAGGACTTGAAGGGCTCCTCACTACTAAGTGGCTGCTTCGAGGACAGGACCATGTGGTCTCGGACTTCTCAGAACATGGCAGTTTAAAATATCTTCATGAGACCCTCCCTGTTCCCCAGAGAAACACCAACTGAGAAGTGCCAGGAAACCCAGGAATGTCACAAGAGTCTTCCCAGTTATACTAGTCCCAAGAATCTCTGGGGCAAAGCCCCATCTCCTCTTCCCACTTCCTGGAAGGGTCTGCCTGTTGGAAAGTACACCAGTGCTTGGGGGAGTAGAACTCGCCTCTGCAGACCTGGAGTGCTTGATTGGGTACTGTCAGACTCGGCTAGCATTCATACTCCATTCCACTTTTTCATTAAGCAAATTACTTCTGCAGACAGGGACTTCGCTTTGCTCAGTCCAGCTGCCTTCAGTGAAAGAAACAAAGCTGCAGTTTTCCCTCATAAAAGGCAAAAAATCCTGGCTGCTTTTTGTGAGGTAAAGTGCCCGTTGGCATGTGGTTGATACCAGCACCATTGTCCCTAGTCTCTCAGTGTTTCATTTCTTCCATACAAGTTCTCATCAGACAAGAGGATTTGGGATTTAAAACAAGGAGCAGCCCTTTGTAACAGCGCCATCAAAAATGGACTGAATTATTTCAAACGAAAAGATTGGCCTTTGCCGTGTGTTGGTGGCCTAGGTCAGCACGCATCCCAGACGTCTGCAGCCTGCCCCCATCCAGGAGAAGCGCACTCCTGGGTGCAGCTGGACCCTGAGCCGCAGACGGGGTGCAGGTCAGGATGTTCCGCCAAGCAGGAGAAATATCTACAGCTGTTATGCTTGAAATTTTTATATGAATTATTTTGTCATCCTGTCCTTTTCCTCCAAAACAAAGATTAGAGGATTATTTTAATATTTGAATTCTCCCATTTTTAAGAAATAAAATTCTTATCAAAAGCCTGTGTGCATTCTTTTTTTTTTTATTTGTGTGTATGTGTGTGGCCAGCTCAGCCCACCAGGGGGCGCGGCTGGCTGGCATGTGGTGCTGGGGGATTGAACCGCGGTCCCTGTGCTTTGCTAAGCTTGTTCGAAGTAGGCGCTTTAGACCACTGAGCCATCTCAGCAGCCCTGTGCATTCTCAGAGCTTCTGCATTATTCATCCTTCCCTTTTCCTTTTGGGACCCTCTTCCCCATGCTGTTAGCCGTGCTCTGTTCTCTGAAAGCTGCCCAGGAGACAGTGGCAGCGGCATATGAAGCCCCCCAGAGAGGGCAACTGGGCAGGAGAAAAGGAAAATGGGAATAAACCCCAAGAACCTAGTGGCCACAAAGGTGGTGAGGGTCTCAAGTTTGCACCTGTGTCACTGTCATGTTCCTGTGGCGGCCACTCGGCTCGTCCCAGCTGACCTCCTGGGTTCACTGTGGATATAATGACATTCACCCGCCTTTCCCTTCTGCTGCCTGAGTCACTGGACAGTGCTGACCCATCGCCTCCCTTGGCCTAGCGGACATCTGTGCCTAGCAGTCTGTACTTGAAAGATTTCTCATCTCCTGAACGCCCTCCTACAGAAGTAAGTGCTTGCTGGTACGCTGCTGCTGCTGCTGCTCTTCCAAGCGTGCTTAGGAGTACGAGAATTACGGTGCCGTGTGGCCTGTGAGCCAGGCTGGCTCAGAACTCTCATCCCAGCCCCTATGTGGTTTGGCAAGTTGTGCTGCCCGGCCCTGTGATCGGGGACTTACGACATAGCTTGCCTGAAAGGGCAGTGCACAAAGTCCTGCTGAAATTTCATTGCGAGTACTGGCAATTGGCTCCCACGCAGACTGCAGATGTCCCAGGGGTCAAAAACAGCAGCCCCTGAGGCTGCCGGCCCCGGGCCCGACCGCATTGAGGAAGCAGGCCTGGACCCGGGCCTGAGCAAGACCAGTCCTGGCAGTGAGGAGTGGGCAGTGCACCCGGCCACAGGCTGGTGCAAGCAAAATCCAGAGAAGGATGTAACAGGCAAGTCTGTAGCAGCAAATGACGCCAGTGTGGTGCAAAAGGTTATGGGTTTGGAGCCTTGAGGCTTGGGATGGGGTGGTGAGGCTTGGGATGGGAAAGCGAGTAAAGTGCTCTTCCCAAACAAGGCCATTTCCCCCATGCAGAGAACTCAGCCTAGATGATGTAGGCTACAGGCCACCTGTATTCCTTTTTCCCACCAAAATGAAGCCTAAAGCGTTCAGGAGACAGCTATAGTCTTGTAGGGACCCACACCCTGGCCATCTGGTAGTGCTTCCTGGCTTGTCCTGTAAGCAGGACTTCTAAGTCAAGTCCATGCTGGGCTCCTTGTCCTGGCCACCATCTCCTGGCAACACCTGCCTCTGAACCAGCCAGCCCCAAAGCTCCCCTCCACCCCACCAAGGGGCACTGCCTGGAACTGCCTCTCGGACATGGAGGGTAGGTATTTTTTTCAAGCCAGTTTTAGTTGCATCCAAAGGTGTCTCACAACAGGACGCAGTACATTATGAGGGCGTTTATGAAATGGACAGCGAAGGCTACATTACGGAGATGAATGTTACTCGGCTGCCGTGCGTCCCTGTTAGGGAACCATCTCTTCCCCTGTTTGGCAGTAAATCTACCTCGTCCTTTGTGCAGAGCAGGGAAACCAGTCTCCCACTGCTCCTCTTGTATTGGTGGTCATATACACAGGCCTCAATCTGAGTACAGTGATTACTTCAGGGCTGGGCATATGGCTTAAATTTGGCTAAAAATCATAGTGATGGACTTTTTACTACAATTATTAGGAAAGACAAGTCCACTCTTCATGGCTAGGGCCACTAACTTAGGGCTCAAGGAGGCCCAAACCAGATTACGTCCAACCTTCTTAGCGCAGAGAGTGAGCCTGTGGGTAAATAGGAAGGTCAGGATCCAACACGAGGAGAGCCGGAGGATAGCAGCTGCCCACCTACTCCCCAGCGTCCCGGAGGTCCACTCCTGGAATCAGTCCTTTCCTTTCTGCTTCAGCCAGTTAGCGCTGGGTTTCTTTCCTTCCCATCTTAGAAGGCTGGAGTCAAGTGTGCTCTGTGAACAGAGCGGCGTTGAGCAAGCTCTTTGTGGGCCTGTCTCTTCACAGGAGCACTGGGACGCCTTCCTAGGGAGTCACTTGGCTACGTGGCTCTGTGCTGGCACCCAGCAGGCGCTTGGGCAGGAAGAGGGGTCCTTGCTGGGGCTCTTCCGGTTCCCAGGCGCATACTTAGCTCCACAGGTTCTCCACAATGCAGCTACTTTCTGCTACTCCTGGGGCTGTTTGCTGAGCCTGATTTTCCCGTCCCAGCTGCGTCTGACCCCAGGAACTCCAGCGCCTTCTCCACTGCAATGAGGAGCAGAGCTTGGAGTCAGATCACACACGTGAGCGTAGGTGGCCCCCGTGAAGTACCTAAGGCAGCAGACACACTATTTCAAGTTGAGAAAAAACAGGGGAGCCCAAGGGGTTGTCAACTACTGCCTGTAAGAGGAGGCAATACTGGGGTGCGCAGAGCGGAGCGGGCTGCTGCATGTGTTCACGGGGAGCGGGAGCAGAGCAAGAGAAGGTGGGTGTCCAGGTGCCTGCAGAGGGCGCTCCAGTAGAGTACAAAGCAAATGCAGGGCGTGTGTGCTCCTGTGGCCCAGAAATTGATGTTCGAATCTGCCGGAAGAAAGGTGCTGGGTGTTTGAACAAATGGTCTTGACAATCTCACCTAGCTCAGACGTTCAGCAAATCTCTCTTTACTTAGGGTCAAATGTCTATGTCTTTATTACTCAAATGCCTCTCAAGTGTAGGTGAACAAAATATTCTGGGGTGGTATTTTATGCGCTGTTACAGTAGTACCTACGGCAGCAGTAGCAGCGTGGACTGTTCTGTGTACAATAACAGAAACCCCAGCACAAGCTAAACTTTTTTTTTTCCTTTTTGCGGAACCAGGGATTGAACTCAGACCCTTGGGCTTGCCAGGGAAGCACTTATTCTACTGAGCTATCTCCCCAGCCCCCCAAGCTAATCTTGATGAGGTTTGTTTACGTAACTGAGGAAGTTTAGGGGAATACTTCAGGCATAGTTGGATCAGGGGCTCTGGCTTTTATTAGTCTATGGATGTCCACTAAATTGTGGTTCTCAAGCTTTGGAATCTGCAGAATCCAGGGACGCATAATTGAGACATAAGATCCATGTCTGCGAGCACCAGCCTGGCCACGTGGTGGGGTGAGGGGTAGCAGGACAGGCCAGAAAATGGTTTCTGGGCTGGGGAGGTAGATTAGCGGTCCAAGCACCTGCCTGGCAAGTGCAAGGACTATGGTTCGATCCCTGGTACCACATGATGTACCAGCCTGGGAACCCCCGGCATGCCGTGCCAGCTCCCGAAACTGGACGTGGTAGTACATGCCTATAATCCCAGTGCTGGGGAGGCTGAGACAGGAGGATCACTATGAGTTTGAGGATCACTATGTAGTAAGACCCTGTACCAAATAAATAATTCAGAGGGCTTGCAGGTTAGCTCAGTTGTTTAAGTGCCTGCTGGTGAAAAACCAGTCAGGAATAGGAGACCATGTTAGATCCCCATGGTCTTAAGGCAGCCTGAGCCAGCTTCCCCCTCCCCCCCCCAAAAAAAAGATCCTTCTCAATTTGGGCCAGGGAGATAGCTCAGTGGCATAAGCACCTGCCTTGCAAGTACAAGGTCCTGAGTTTGATCCCTGGTACTGGGGGAAAAAAAAAAAGAGAGAGAGAGAGAAAGAAAATGTTTTTTTTTTTTTTGGTTTTTTTTTTCACTATCATCAAGTAAAATCCTAAGTGCTACTTCTATTAATCTAGGCTGAGTCAGTGACTGTTGTATACGCAAACACGGAGTTGAGCAGCATGGTAGAGGAATCCAGACAACTCAGACTGAACGTGATAGTACATTTTTCTTGTGTGTGAAAGAGGTCTGAAGGGAGGCAGCCCCCGCGAGGTGGGGCCGTCACGATGGCTCAGCACTTGCGCTGCGCTGGCTGCTGCTTTTCCATCCCGGGGTGAACCCGTCACCCACTGCTGACTGGCGCTGTGGCCTTGAGCAACTTAATGGAACACCAACTTATTCCTCTTCCCTCCTCCATGAAATAGGGTCTGTGTTAGTTCTGCATTCAGATGGACCAGGGACACTTCCCACCACTAAATTGCAAATCAGCTGAACAAAGTTTTTCCAGTCTGACTTCCACTGCTCTCAAATCTTTGGTGGACATTAGAAAACTAAACCCAAAGGGGTTTTTTTGTTGTGTTTTAATTTAGTACAGGGTCTACAGGGTGTACAGGGTCTCACTACATAGATCGGACTCCAGTGATCCTCCCAAGCACTGGGATTACAGGCGCACCAGCACACCCAGTCTCAATCGTTGTCCAGGGCTGGCAAGCCGCCCTGTGGTGCCATGAGGCTCCCAGGCCTTCCCGACCTTCAGCCCTGACATTCTTTTCATGCAGTTTGCATTGCAGAACGAGAGCTGCTACCTTCTCACCTGTGCTCCATGTGCGGCAGGAGGCAGGACACCCGCACTTAGAGGGCTTTCTCAGAAACCCAGACAGGGACTTCTACTTATATCCTGCCAACAGGGACTCTCAAGGGCCACTTGGGCAACTCAG